CCACACAGCCCACCACACTCCCTTGCAACGATGTCACCTAGCAATGTCAGAGCACCTGCATTGCCAGGAGTTACCATCCAGTGTTCACACAGTGGTGAGGTTGCCTAATGATGCATTTCTCAGAGCACGGCCCCGTCATTACAGTATGTATGACTGTGCTTTCTATATAGGAACTCAATTAAGCATCACAGCAACCCCAGAATGCACTATTACTGCCACTTTACTGATAAGGAAATGCAGGCATTCCTCCAAAATCACACAGCTAGGAAGGGGCTGAGCTGGCATGCAAACTCAGGCCATCTGACTCTTGAGCCTGTGCCATGTCACTTCCTTGATGTTTATACCTCATGCTCCTTTTCAAGGGTTTCAAGGCCTCTTATGTGTCTTATCACCATGGCATCATTGTCTTCCCAGGAATCCAGTGAGAAAACTCAGGATCATTTTGGTTTCTCTCTCTTCTTTAATATGGGGTTCTACCTTCACATTTATTTTAAGAAAGCTTTTATTTAATAAATACAAATTTCATAGGTACAGCTTTAGGAATATAGAGGTTGCCTTCACATTTTTTTGAAGCACCCTTTGTTTTCTTACTCTACTGCTTTTGGATCCAACACAGGACATCATGATGCTTTGCCTTAAGTGTGGTAGGAGCCCCTCCTCCGTTCTCACCTCCAGCCACTCCCCCCTCCAGCCAGACTTAACACACATTGTGTGTTTCCCCCAAGGCAGAGCAAGTTAGAATTCACTGGTAGGGGAGACTTAAGGACACACAAGCTGAGTACTTAGTCTTGGGTTTTAATAGAGGTGATAGCTATGTAATACTTCTTTTTTCTTTGCTCCTTCAAATTGCACACATGCCCATAATCAATTCAAAAGCTCAAGAATAGTGAAGGGGTAACCAAGTGAAAGAAGCCAGCCACAGAAGGACCACATCATTCCACTTACATGAAGTCCTAGAGTAGTCAAGTTCAGAGACAGAAGCAGAATGGTTATTGACAGGGGCTATAGTCCGGGGGAGTGGGGAGAGACTGTGAGAGAATGGGGAGCTATTGTTCAATGGATGAGGAGTTTCAGTTTTGCAAGATGCAAATAGTTGGGAGGTGTTGCCCAATTATGTGAAAGCACTTAACACCATGGAACTGCACACTTAAAAATGGTTAAGATGATGAATTTTATGTTATGCACGTTTCACCACAATTAAAGAAAACAACAATTAAGTGTCATTTAGATTTTATCCAAAAGATTGGAACACGTCCATTTTAGATGAATGGCTCCCAGCAGCACCTTACATTTGTATCATGGTTCACATTTTCCTCTGAGTGTCATATTCTTTGATCCTAAAGACAACTCTGTGATGTAGGAGGATCACTGTGATCATTATCCTAAACATTAAGTTTGGGGAATTTGAAGATGGATCAAGTGACCTGTCAATGATCCCAAACCTCATCGATGATGTTGTGATTTAATTTGATTTCAGGAAAGTTCAGTGGCTGCCGCTGTGGCGCAGCAGGTTAAAGCCCTGGCCTGAAGCACTGGCATCCCATATGGACGCAGGTTCTAGTCCTGGCTGCTCCTCTTCCAGTCCAGCTCTCTGCTATGGCCTGGGAAAGCAGAAGATGGCCCAAGTCCTTGGGCCCCTGCACCCATGTGGGAGACCCAGAGGAAGTTTCTGGCTCCTGGCTTCGGATCGGTACAGCTCTGGCTGTTGCAGCCAACTGGGGAGTGAACCAGTGGATAGAAGACCTCTCTCTCTATCTCTACCTCTCTCTGTAACTCTTTCAAATAAATAAAATAAATCTTAAAAACAAAAGAAAGTTCAACATTTTCCTAGGTGGGGCTTTCAACTTGTCTTCCAGAAAAGAACATTAGGGAATTAATAACAGGATTGGACTACAAGCCTGGAGTAGGAGTGAGGAAAACTTTTCTGTGATCATGAGGAACAGAGATGGAATCATGCTAAGTTGTGCAATCACAGGACAGAAGTTAGCCACCCCCATGTGCAGCTGATGAGCTTAGTTAAGATTTGGAGGGGAGTCCCATCAAGTAAAGCCTATGACTTGAATAAGAATCTACAAGAAGTCAACCATGAAAGCACCATGAGAGTGTGCACCTTGTGACTCATCCCTTTTCTTTGTAAAACCTCAGTGGAATGAGACGGCATTGTTCTGGCTGAGATCACCTGCACTGTGGTTTTCCCCAGCTCTGAGGAGAGAGAATGCTTTGAAATGGCATTTCCCTAATTCTGGATGGAACAATATGATGCATGAGATTACTTCAAAAAAAGCCAAGTGGGTGTGGGGGACATTAGTAGGTATAGTAATGAGCAAGATTCACCATAAGTGATAATTACTGAAGCTTGCTGATGGGCACAGTGGAACTCATCATACTTACTCATATATATTTTGCTAAAAATACCAATTCTTTAAGGACATTCTGGGGGAAAAGAGGTGAATCAGTGCTGGTGGATGCTATCGCCACTTTAGGGAACAACGTCACTGACTCCTTTCCTGGAAAGCCACAAATTAAAGATTCTGAGGAGCCCTGCACTAAAGAGATCTTTTAACATGGTTTAACCCACATTTTCTTCCCAAAGCTGACTTGACATTCCAAACCCATTTTTCCTCATGCAATATCTGTTAACAAGTCATCAAATCAGCATTTCATGGGACACACTGTGGCGAAATCTGTTTCAAAAGATTGTGTTGTGATTCTGTTCCTGGCGGGGAGGGCCAGAACAGGAACCAAGGACAGTTTCCTGATCTTTCTGCCAAGAACACCTTTTCAGAAGCGGGAAGATTTATTTTTCTTGGACAAGGAAAAGCAAGGAAACTGCCTGCTGATTCAGAATGAAGCTACCACAGCAGCCCTGACAGTGGGATCTCAGGTCCCATGTGATAGATCCATGCACACAGAAGGAGCAGACCACATCCAGAGATGAAAGGCACAGCCTCTGGAATTCTATCCACCACTCCAGGTGTTTGATCATGGGCAAGCTGCTGAGCCACCTTGTGCCTCAGTTTCTTCATCCATAAAATAGGGAAAATAAGTTTTACACACCTCCATAGAATGCTTGTCAAATTTAGCAAATAAAATATAGGATGCCCAAATATTACATAGGACATACTTATACTAAACAATTATTGTTTATGTGAAATTCAAATTCCACTGCTCCTCTGTGTTTTATCTGATAACTCTACCTCATGCGGTGGTGATAGAATATGTGACATGATCCAGACTGAAGTCTCAGAACCATGCCTGGTATCTAATAGGCACTCAATTCACTACTGGTCATCATCATCATTAATATTAGCACCTTTCTTTATTCTGGTCCTTCTAATAATTTTCCAAAGATTGCCTTAAGTATATGATTTAATCACTTCTAGTCATATTTTCTACAATGAATATAAAGAAGACACTGATATCTTTTGGTTTAAGTCCTTAGAGTTATTCTATGAAGCTCAAGAAAGATGTATTAAGTTGATTGTCATCTATCATTAATTAGAAAAAGACATGCAGGAAATGTAGTTAACGTTAGCCTTGTATGATGTTTGTGAATTTTTACTTTCATATTGTGGTTTTCTTTAGAGGAAGAATTAACTTATGACCCCTGGATGTGCATTACTCAAGGTGGAGAAGTGGAGAGGAAGCCCACACAGAGAAGTTAGCCTGGGCTGTGGGTAAGAAAGGGCAGGGTGACTCTCCTACCTGCTGGCAGTTAGGAGTTCATTACACATCTCAATGAAGATTGTACTCAACCAGCTGCCTGGTCCCAGATTTGCAGTGTACCAGGGACAGAAGAATGCAATACAATTTCTAGACACCTGGCACTTATCTAATGCACACTGAATACAGACAAGTCTTGCTTGCATGCATTTCCTTATACAAGGTACACAATCATGTCAGCACATTAGTCTGACAGCTGGCAAACCATTTGTAAATAAACCGATGACATGTCTCTCTTGTTTTCTATCATCAATGATCCATGACCTAGTAAAAATGTACTGGACAAAGAATTATTCTTTATGGAAACACATGGTTATCAGATTTTCTGTAGGAAATTTAATCTTTAAGTACAAGATGATACTCTTCCTCCAAATCATAAAACAACTTAAAATTCTTATGAAAAGAATATTTACTTATTTATCAGCCCACATTCACTTCCTCAATTAAAAGGTACAGGGAAGAGAGAGAAGGAGAAAGACCGTGAAATTCAAGGAGACTTAGAGGCAGAGAGAAATAGAGTGAAATACAGAAAAAAAACAGAAACAGAGTCCCAGAGACAGAGGTCAAAGACTCTTAGGTACCTGGTAAACCCCACTGACTTTGTAAACCCTTTCTGGATCTGTTTTTAAATAATGCCAGTAGTGTATTTTCTTACCCTGATATCATGCATTAGCTTCCCATCCCCCTTTTCCAGAACCTGTCAAATACACCACAGGTGGGGAAAACAACTCGCCTATAAATCAGGAAATCAACCTAAAATTCGGAGTTTTAGTTTCACTTTTATGCTTCAAAGGCTGCTATTAATGTTCCTGCTCCCTGATAAACAAACTGGAAAGGCACTACTTCATTAAGAAAACAACCGAGTTTTCCTTCTTTTCTCTTTGGTTTGCAAACGAATGATCATGAAATTGAATGAAGCCAGGTTGGCTCCAGGTATGTAAACAGCACCCAGCTGGAGCTGATGTGGCACACAAAAAGGAATCTAAATTCAAGGCAGCTATAAAGTCAGTCAATAAATTAATAGCATCAGCCAAGCCTAAATAAATAAATAGAGAGAGATAGATGGATACCAATCCTTTTTGTCAGGACACGTTAGGTTTTCATTAGGAGGAACTTGTAAAACTTGATTATTCACTTTCTGAGTTTGAACAGAGCCTGGTCAACACAAGGCTAAAATGAAACCTGAAACTCGGCTTTCAGACCCTGATGGTAACACAGTTTTAAGGAAAACAAAAAAAAAAAAAGAAAGAGAAAAGCAGGGAGATAAATCTACTCACCAGCGCCACAAACTTCAACTCCTTGGCCAGCACGCCGCGGGCTAGCCAGAAGGAAAGCAGGAGCGAGAATCCCAGGTGGGGGCTCGCTGCCCCGGCCCCTAGAAGCGTCGTGGCTTTCATGCTGGGAACAGGGTGTCCAGCTGAAGATCCGGAGGTGCTGCTTCCACTTCAAAGGCTTTAAGAGGGGAAGCTATTTAATCAAGGGATTGAGTGGGAGGGAGGAGCCACCCTCATAAATAGTAAAATTTCCAGGAAGTTTGGGCGGGGTTTGGTATGTAATTTTGGAGCTGGGCGTTAGATCGCCAGCTCCTTAGCCTGAGGAGGCCCAGAGGTAGGAGGGCTCTTGCTCAAGACCACAGAGCATGTTTCTTTTCTGTTGTAAGTTCACCTGCATCTTTCCTTTAGATGGGGGGACAGGGGTATTTCCGCACTGGCTCTATGGCTGTCGCTGTCTGAAAGGGATCCACTGTAGGGAATCTTTTGGGAATCCAGAATTGTTGGGAGACACAGAAGGAGCTCCATGGGCCTTTCCCGGGACAAAGGTGGCGTCCTTCTCTTACACTGTCATGTAAATTACAGAGGTGTTTTGGAACTGAAGAAAACTAAGAACGAGTTGAAGAAAACTAAGAACCTGTGACATCTCAATATTAGGATTAGAGTCACTTTCCAAAGATGACATAGTAAAAAAATAAATGAACCAACAACTCTACAGTGTCAGTCATCAACTCTGACCATAGGTTTCCGTTCTGGGTGAATCACACCCTTGCTGCTTCACTGGGGATCTCACTGGGGATGCTGCAGAAGATGTCCAGATCCATGGACCTCAGCTTTCTATTTTCCCCATCCTGTGGGTCCCATCATAGCCTGAAACAATGCAGACTCACACTGCATATGGAGATTTTGCAAGACTTGGGGCTGAGCTGCCTGTGATGCTTTCCTGGCAGTGGCAGGAGAACAATGGGATTCCTACAGCTTGTTCTCTGATATGTTGCACTCCCCAGTGGCAGGAAGGTTGTCATCACCAGGTGTGGAATGTGCCCTGTGGGAGAGCTCCTGCTTCCTCTGGTATGGGGAAGTGTGAGCAAAGTCCTGATACCTGTGTGGTTAGGATTAGACATTTAGAGGGACTGTGACCTTCTTTTTGCCATCACCTTTACCTGTAAGTCCTCAATGCTCATTTGTTGTAGTAGGTAAGATTTTGAGGAGATGGTTGCAAGAGACAGAGAATGAAGACTGAGAAGCTGTCTGGTCCAGGATAGACACGAACTTGTCACACTGACCCTTGCTGTGTGCATCAGGCTACCTGTGTCTTTCCTTGTTTCACGTTGGGTTGATGCCTGGGACTGTTTTAGCTTTCGCCTTAGACCTTCCTTTTTCTTTTTTCCTTTTTTTAAATTTTTTTATTATTATTTTTTTTTTTGACAGGCAGAGTGGACAGTGAGAGAGAGAGACAGAGAGAAAGGTCTTCCCTTGCTGTTGGCTCACCCTCCAATGGCCGCCGCAGCTGGCGTGCGGCGTGCGGCGGCCGGCGCATCACACTGATCCGAAGCCAGGAGCCAGGTGCTTCTCCTGGTCTTCCATAGGGTGCAGGGCCCAAGCACTTGGGCCATCCTCCACTGCACTCCCTGGCCACAGCAGAGAGCTGGCCTGGAAGAGGGGCAACCGGGACCGGGACGAGAACCCAGTGTGCCGGCGCCGCAAAGCAGAGGATTAGCCTACTGAGCCACGGCGCTGGCCTCACCTTAGACCTTCCTGACATTGACAGTGGCTCTCTAACTCGGGATGCCAGCTGAGTGATCTCAAATAGCACATTTTTTTCTTTTTTTTTTTTTAAAGAGTTATTTATCCATTTGAAATGGCAGAGTTACAGAGAGACAGAGAGAGAGAAAGAGAGAGAGAGAGAGGTCTTCCATCCACTGGTTCACTCCCCAAATGGCTGCAATGGCCGGAGCTGCACTGATCCGAAGCCAGGAGCCAGAACCAGGAGCTTTATCCAGGTCTCCCATGCAGGAATAGGGCCCCAAGCACTTGCGCCATCTTCCACTGCTTTCCCAGGCCATAGCAGGCTGGATCAGAAGTGGAGCAGCCAGGACTCGAACCGGCACCCATGTGGGATACTGGCAATGCAGGCAGCAGCTTTACCCGCTACACCACAGCACTAATTCTTCAAATAGCACGTTTCTAAGAGCTGGGGGAATTAATCCTTCAGTTCACAAGGGGTCTTATATCCATGACAATGAATACATATTTATGGGGGAAAAATCATGATCCTTAATAGGTCTAGAGCTATGAGAGCATTACATGTACCTCTGATGATGAGAGTCTGGGTTAGAGCTGAGATTGACCAATTGGATATGAAGCTGTTGGCCAGGTAGGAAGGCTGTTTTTAATCTGTTTGGCTTCCTGTGGCCTTCACAATTATATTAATTGGCTCTCAGTGCTGTGTGGCCTACTGGGTACTCAATAATATTGGCTGATCAACTGCCAATACAAAGGCAAATTACTGCATCAGAACCTTGTCACTTGTGAGCTGCTTTGACACAAAATTTAATATAACATGGGTTTAGAATAAAAGTTCTCCCCCTCAACCCATCATTTATTTTTAAAAGATTTATTTATTTATTTATCTGAAAGGCAGATTTATATATATATGTATATATATACATATATATATATAAAGAAAGAGAGAGAGAGAGGTACAGAGAGAGAGGTCTTCCACCCACTGGTTCACTCCCTAAATAACAATAGCTGGTGCTGGGCAGAAACCAAGAGCCAGGAGTCAGGAGCTTCATCCAGATCTCCTACGTAAGTTCATGGGCCCAAGCACTTAGGCCATCTGCTGCTGCTCTCCCAGGCACATCAGCAGGGAGCTGGATCAGAACTGGAGCAGCCAGGAATTGAACTGGTACTCAAATGGGATGCTGATATCACAGGCAACAGCATAGTCTGCTGCACCACAGTGCTGGCCCCATCAATCCATTATTTTGTATGGCATTTTTCCCTTGGTATGGAATAACCATTTTATTGTTTAATATTTAGACAAATATTTTCTCATGTAGCCAAGAGCTATCACTGGGATGTTAACAAAGGAAGGTATATACTCCAGGAGACTCATGAAATGGGCTAACGCTTTCAAAGTGAAAAGAAGGTATTAGGACTTTCTTTTTTCTTTTACCTAAAGTAGAAAAAAAATGCTTTATTGTAGAATTTTATTTTACAATGTATTATTTTAAAGTGGAATATTATTTGACTATGAACAGAAATAGTTTTTTTTCCACTTTCAAGGAAATCTTAAAATTTTATTTATTTATTTTTTTATTTGAAAGACACACAGAAAGAGAATTGATTTTCTCTTTGCTGGTTCATTTCCCAAATACTGGTAAAAGCCAGGGATGGGCCAGACTGAAGACAGAAGCCTGGAACTCAGTCTAAGTCTCTCCCATAGGTGCAGAGACCCAACTACTGAAGCCATCACTTGTTGCTTCCCAGTGTGCACATTAGTGTGAAACTGAAATTGGAAGTAAAACCAGAATTTGAAGGCACACATTCCAGTATAGCATGCAAGTGTTTCAAGCAGCAACTGGAACCAAATTGTTATGCTCAATCCTAAATTGTCATCCCTTACGATAAACTCACTATCTAACCCAGGTCAGGGCAATTTTTCTGGGTCAGTCTTTTTTTTTTCACTTTTTACACCACAGTTTTGTCTCCGACAGGCAGAGTGGACAGTGGGAGAGAGAGAAAGAGAGAAAGGTCTTCCTTTACCGTTGGTTCACCCTCCAATGGTCTCCGCGGCCAGCGCACTGTGGCCGGCACACCGCGCTGATCCGAAGCTGGGAGCCAGGTGCTTCTCCTGGTCTCCCATGCAGGTGCAGGGCCCAAGCACCTGGGCCATCCTCCACTGCACTCCTGGGCCACAGCAGAGAGCTGGCCTGGAAGAGGAGCAACCGGGACAGAATCCGGTGCCCCGACTGGGACTAGAACCCGTTGTGCCGGCGCCGCAAGGCGGAGGATTAGCTTATTGAGCCGCGGTGCCGGCCATGGGTCAGTCTTTTGAATGAAGAATTTCTGTAAGGCAGAGATTCCCCAAGTGTGGCTTGGGGTCCCCAAGACCCTTCAGAGGGTCCCTTAGACTCTTTTAGGAGATTCCTGAATTATATTCAGAGAGTCTATAGGATTACGGCTATTTTCATAACAATACTGAAACATTATTTTGCTTTTCATTCTCATTCTCTCATGAGTGTTCACTGGAGTTTTCTAGAGGACACATGATGTGAGATGCATCATTGCCCTCTTGGCAAGTTGAACATGTGCTTATGTATTCTTGTGTTTTAAAATTTTCTCCATCTTAGTGTTTTTTTTTATTAAAATTATTTTTATTTGAGAGGCAGAGAGAGACAGATAGACACACAGATGTTACTTTTCCATAATATTTTACTTTACTTTTTCATAATGCTAGCAGGAGCACAAAATCTCTTAGCCACAAGACCCTAAGAGCTCCCATCTTCTGGTTCATTCCCCAAATGCCTACAATGGCCAGGACTAGAGCCAGGAGCCAGGATCACAGACCAGATCTCCTAGTTGGGTTGCAGGAACCCAGTCACTCAGACCATTACCTACTATCTCCCAGGTCTGTATTTATACAGGGTATATGTATGTATACAGGAAGCTGGAATCAAGAGCCAGAGCTAGGAACAGAACCCAGGCACTCTGATATGGGACACAACCACTAAGCCAAATGCCTGTTCCTTCAGTTTTAATTTTGAATTCAGTAGATATCAATAGATATAGCCTGCATAAGCAAAAGCTCTTAAGGATATGCAATAATTTTTAACAATGTAAAGAGCTTCTGAAGCCAAATATTTGAGAACTATTGCTGAAGGTAAGATAATGATGTAAATCATTAAGTTATTTCATTCTTTCAACACAAAAATGCATTGATTTTCTACCAGGAGCAGTGCTCAGGAACACTAAATTTGAGAGACAAAGTCCCAGCCTCAAGGAACTATCTTGTGGGGAAAGAGAAACAGCCTCAATGTCTTGAAACAAGCACAGAATATAACGTTTGTCCAGAAGAGGAACCTGCGTGTAACTACTTATTAATGTAGAATTTAGATCAATGGAAAAGATATGAAGGAATGGGAGAACATGGTGTCATCTAAGCAACTGCAAGCAGTTCAACTGGAATATCTTCCGTGTGAATAACTTGAATAAAATTCTGTTTAGCTATCTTTAGCTACTTTGGCAACTTCTGTTATTGTTAGTGGAGCATATTCAAAAGGAACCATTGAACGTTCTGTTGTAAATGTTTAACAACTGGCTATGCTGGAAGAAAAAAAAGTTCTGGCTTGTAGTATTTGTCAATGTCCATGTTGAAATATTCTCACCATAGTTGCTGTCAAGCTGTTGCCTGACATGCTGTCACTTTACATAGAATTGATAAGAGATGATCATATGTCGCTCCCCCTCTTCGCGGAGGAACGGACGACAGAGGACCCTGCGCTGTTCTTTTGTCTGCTCGGCCCTCCCCGGGTTTGCTGCTGGTTCTTCCCAGGTTGGCTACCGTCCCTTCCACCTCCGTGGAAGGGCGGTTCCCCCTGCCACTTTCCCCACTTCTGCGGGGGAGCAGCACACCGCTGGCCGGCTCTCTCGGGAGCTGCTCAGGTGTTCCTTCAGATAGATGTTCCTGGTGCATGTTGTCTCTCTCCTCCTTTATAGTCCTCTTCCACCAATCCCAACTCTGCTACCCACACGCCGGGTACGCTGCTCTCCTCCAATCAGGATCAGCTCCTGCAGGTTACTGGTCGAACTGGAGGCAGCTGTGTAGAAGCTGTTTCTCCCTTCTCAGTGCCATATTGTGGGAGAGCAGATGCATAGAATAAGTCTTAATTCCAGTAACAGTCTAGTCCGAGTTGCTCCCCACAATCATATCACTATATAGCATCACATGCTGTTGCCATCACACTGTCTTCAGACTGTGCTTGTGTCTAATACCTGGGGAAAAAGAGGTGGAAGGAAAAGTTGCACGGGAAGAGCCTGAGATTGTGGTGCAAGCCTGAAAAAGTCAACCTGCCAAACAGGGGCTCCAGTGCAACAGAGAACCCTGATCTGGGCAGAAATGCCCAGGCCCAGCACTCCTGCCGGACTCAGTGCTTGTCTGGGGCTGCTGTAGAAGACTGTAGCCCTGGTTCAGTGGCTGCTATGATCTCAAGGGCACACAGCTAGAGGTTGTGGGCTAACTGCTTTCCTTGGGATTTTTGGGCAAGTTTGTTTTTTGAAGGCAAACTGAGCATCACACCTCCACAACTGCTACTGCTGTTTCCAGAGAACAGAGGGAGTTTCCTATACAATTGGCATTGGTAGGAGGAGTGATGGAGTCTCAATCCAGGTGACTGACTCCTGATCAGGGTCCCCCATTCTATTTTTTTAAGATTTTATTTCTTTGAAAGGTGGGGTTGCAGACAGAGAGAGGGAGAGATAGACAGAAAGGTCTTCCATCCACTGGTTCACTCCCCAAATGGCCACAATGACTGGAGTTGAGCTGATCCAAAGCCAGAAGCCAGCAGCTTCTTCCAGGTCTCCCACATGGGTGAGGGGCCCAAGCACTTGGGCCATCTCCTATTGCTTTTCCCAGGCTATTAGCAGAGAGCTGGATCGGAAGAGGAGCAGCTGGGATGCCAGTGCCACAGGCTGGGGCTTACCCTACTATACTACAGCTCCAGTTTCCCATTCTGAATATCTGGAACTTCCTTTGAAGCCTGTTACCCACTGTATTCAGGATTCTTTTGATGGTAAGTGACTGATTCATCTTAGGCAAGGAAGAGAATTTTTTTTTTTCCTCACGCAGCTGAACAAATGGAAGGGAAAGATTACTGGGGACTTGGAACAAAAATGGCACAGGAGCACAGGAGAGGTGGTATTTAGCCTGATGGTTAAGATGCCTGTGTCCCACACTGGAGCGAACAACAAGTGAAAAGACCTGAGACTGAGCAGGGTTGTTATGGCAGAGGCAAGAAAAGGAGGTTTGTGTGGCAGGGAGTTGTGAACATGGGGAAGAGTGAGGGAGAGGAGCTCAGAGAGCCAGGCAGGTTCCAAATCGCAGTGTCATATTTGCTGTGGCAAAGAGTTTGTGTTGATTCTAAGTGAAATAGGAAGTGACATGTGGATTTTGGTCAGGGGAGCGGTATGTAGCTCCTTGTGGAGAGTGGATTATGGAGCAGCAAAAGCGTGGTCAAGAACAGCCAGGAGGCTGTTGCTATGGCCCAGGAGACAGAGATGATACCATAGCCCGGGCAGACGGAAGTGGATGGATAGAAAAGCCTGCGACTGGGAGAAGGAGCTGAGTGGCATGCAGATGAGATGTGAGGGGGAGGAAGAATGGAGGAGCCCTGCCAGGTGAGGACTCACAGGAATGGCTGTGCTGTTTCTGAGGTCCTGAGTCAAGTGGCTTCCGGCCATGAGAAGTTGGAGAACCACCTCAATTTCCATACAATGAGTAGCCCAGGACTGGAACATTAGAAGGTCAGTTACTCTAGGGCTCAGTGTTGTCACCAAGAACTCCAGCTGTGTGTTTCAGCTTCTCTTTCTCCTCTAGATCACTTCCATTATGGCCTCATGGCCATAGAGTGGCTTTGCAGACAGATGCACAACAAGGAGAATGTCTTCTTTTATGTGGCTGATTTTGTCCGTGAAACAAACCTTCAAACTCTAAGAGATAGGAAAAACCAAACTGTTTTCCTTACTTTGCACACTTGGCATAATACAGAATACTTCACCCATGGCTACCACAATGTGTAGGCATCTCTCCCACCAACAACATATTTCCAGGTGAACATCAGCTAAGTGTCCTACAATTGCCCTTCAATTCATTCAATTCAATTCAATTCTGATACTCTATGACATGAGGTATGTGTGTAAAGTTTTTGTCTGTGATTCCTGGCTCATAACTCCCCAAAACACCATTAAAATAGTCCAAAAACATGAAGACAAAGGACATTCAAACAGACTCAGCATTACTTTGATATCAAAATCTGAAAACAAAAACACAGAAAACTAAAGACAAATATTTTAGGAATACCATTTAAAATCCAAAATAAAATGATAAAAACAGAACCTACTAATGTATTAGAAGAAAAATACAACATGATCAAGAGGGATTCATTGAAGAAATTTAAAATTCAACATACTATTAAAATATAAAAGGAGCAAAAACATGCAATTATTGCCATAGAGATGAAAAAGGAATTTGTAAAACTTGCAATACTTACTCACCGTACTTTTTAAGTTTTCTAAGACCCCTTACTGAAGCAGGAATACAGGGATGTTTTTAATTCTAAGCATGTGTGAGTGTGAATATGCCTGTATCTGCATGTGTGTGTTGAATAAGTACTACCCTTCACAATCAGACACTGGCAATATTTTCTTAAAGTCATAAATGGACTAAAAATGTCCCTGGATCATAACCATGATTTAAGGATGGATACAGTTAAAGCAGAGAAATAAGATGTATAATGTGGAAATTGTACTCCTAACCATCTTGTGCTGGGTAAAAGGTGAGCAGATAAAGCAACTGCACAGAGGGATCCTGCCATGTGGCAGCTGAGTCCTCAGTGTGCCCTTGGTTGGACCTGGGAATAGCGTTTATTTCCATTGCAAGTTCATGTCCCCACTGTCCTAACTCCTCCATCCTAGAACTGTTAAAACATTCTCTACCCTCCTGTCTTCCATTTTCCAAATGACACTGTTTCTTTTTTGTTTATTTTTTTTTTAAGAAAACAAATGTTCTCTGAATAGTACCTGATGCTCCTCCATACCTCTGCTTTCCTTCCTATTAATGAGTATGCCTCGTTTATTTCCTTTCCAAGGCCAACTCGTCCCCATGTTCTGGGTCCCATTCTATCGCCCCATCCAAGGACTTCCTTTGGGCTCTTAATTGCATCACTGTTTAGCACACAGTTTCACATCTCCTCTATCAACTTCCCCACATTCAGCTCTCTCATGACCAAGTTTTTCCTAAGTTCTTGCTGGTTGATGCTTCTACAGTCTCAACTCCCACTCTTTTCCAGTTAGTTCTGATTTCACCCTGTCTGCACTACTTCATCCAAGTCCACATGACCTCATATTGCTAGATCCAGGGTCCCTGCTCTGTCTTCATCTTTCTCTTGAAAACGCCCAGAGCTTTCACAACAGAGGACCAACTCCTCCTTCACATACTCACTCCACTCAGCTTCCAAAATATTCCACTCACCTGCTTCCTTTCCATGTCCTCCTTACCTGTCCTCCTCTGTTTGAATCCTAAATACTAGAGTGCCATAGGGCTCTGTTCTTATTTCTTTTTATTTTCTGAGTTATTTTAAAATAATTTACATATGATAAAATTCACCAATGTTAAGTGTACAATGCAATGATTTTTTTTTTAGCAAACTTAGAGTTGGGCATTCATCACCACAACTCAATTTCAGAACAAAATTCCATGAAAACATCTCAGATTCCAAAAACACAATTGTTTTGTATTCCTACTATTTTTCTGAAAATTAGCTTAAATAATTTCCAATGATATTATGTGTATTTTTAGAACTTTTACTTATTTTACTTATTCGAAGGTAGAGAGAGAGAGAGAGAATGAGAGAGAGTTTCTAATCCACAAGTTCACTCCCCAAAATATCTGGTTGGGCCAGGCCAAAGCCAGTAGTCCAGAACTTAATATAGGTCTCCCATATGAATGTGGGGACCTAAGTACTTGAGCCATCTCTGCTGCCTTCCTGGGTCTGCATTAACAGGAAAATGAAATTGCAAGTGGAACTAGGACTCAAACTCATGTACTCTTCCAAGAGGCGTGTTAACCATTATGCCAAATGTTCATGTATTTTTAAAAGCATGTGTAGTAACAGAATTTCTTACAGAGTAATAATTTAACATTTGTGGTTTTTTGTCTTTTTCCTATTTTGAACTTGAAATGGACATAATTTTACATAAATTTTATGTAATCCTGCATTTTTTCCCTAGGATAGATTCTATAGTATAGCTACTGAATCAATGGTTTAATTTTTTAAAATGCTCTTCATAATATTGCCAAATTATTTCTTAGGAAAATTCTTTCAATTGTGCTCCTATTGGCCATATAGAAAACCCAAATTAAAAGTATATATTTTCTACACTAATTTTTTCTTTCTCTTATCCTTCTTCTTTCTTCTTTTTCTTCTCTCCTTCTCTTGTTAATTTGTTATACAAAAAATGGTCATTGTTTCATTAGGTATTTGTCAAATATTGACAAAATTTGACAAATATGAAAGCCTCATTTTGAATTTCTGTTTTCCTCAGCCATTTAAATTCCTTCTTTGGTGAATTCTCTACTAATATTATTTACCATTTTAAAAAGAGTTTTGATAACTTACATATTGACTGACCTCTCTAAATATTAAGTCTTTATTTTATTTATTGCAAGTACTTTTCTTAGTTTGGTATTCATTTCAATTTTGTTGATAGTACTCTTGACATCCTAAAGTATTAAATTCATCCATCATCATAATATCTATTTTTAAAATGTTTATTTGTGGGGCTGGCACCGTGGCTCACATGGCTAATCCTCCGCCTGCAGCTCCGGCATCCCATATGGGCACCGGGTTCTAGTCCCGGCTGCTCCTCTTCCAGTCCAGCTCTCTGCTGTGGCCCAGGAAGGCAGTGGAGGATGGCCCAAGTGCTTGGGCCCCTGCACCCACATGGGAGACCAGGAAGAAGCACCTGGCTCCTGGCTTCGGATCAGCACAGCACTGGCCGTGGTGGCCATTTGGGAAGTGAACCAACGGAAGGAAGACCTTTCTCTCTCTCTCTCTCTCACTGTCTGTAACTCTATCTGTATAATAAAAAAAAATTATAAAATGTTTGTTTGTTTTTGTCTATCTGAAAGGCAGAGCAACAGAGAGTTAGAGAGAGAGAGAGACAGAAACAGAGAGAGAGAGCTCTTCCATCCACTGGTTCAATCCCCAAGTGCTTGAAACAGCTGGGGTTGAGTCAGCCCAAAGTCAAGAGCCCCAAACTCCATCCAGGTCTCCCACATGAGTGGCAGAGACTCAAGTACTTGAGCCATCACCTGCTGCTTCTCAGGATGTGCATTAGCAGGAAGATGGTCAGAAGTGAAATAACTGTGGCTTGAACCAGGCACTCGAGAATGGGATGTGGATGCCAAGCTGCAGCTCAACTCACTGTACCACAATGCTCACCCTTCTATCTGAGTTTTTTAGTTTTTGATTTCAACATGTTTAACTTTGGACATTGACAAGTCAGTTATTGAATAGAACCCCAATAAGGCTTAATGGAAGAGGTTAAACTAAGACTACTAGGTGAAATCATTTTCTGAAGAGATAAGTAGAAGTTATTGAAAGCTCTCTGTTGTTATATATTAACGTTAGCCGTTGCAAAACACACCAGACACCGGAGTAAGGGAAAGGGTTTATTGGGGAACACCCAACAGACCGGAGTGAAGGGGTGGCGAAGGAAAAAGAGAAGGAGACTATAAGAGAGAGAGACAGAGAGGAGGTAGAAGAGAGACGAGAGGAGGAGACTAGAGAGCAGAACCAAGAGAGAAGAGTCAAGAGACCAGAGGAGGAGGCTAGAGAGAGGAACCGAGAGAGCGCAGGAGAGAAGGGCCAAGAGGGCATGTATTCAGGAACAGGCCCTTTTAAAACTTTGCCTGAGGGTGGGCAGGGAAGCAGGAGCAGCGAATCCCATTAGGATGGGGGTGGAGCCTGGCTCAGGTAGCTGGGCCATGCAGCCACCTGGCTAAAACTTCGCCAGTTTCCTGACATCTGTAGTCAGACATCATGACAAGGCTTCACACAGCCTCATGGAACGCAAAGGGTTATCTCCAGTGTACAGGTGAGGGAAGTCAAATTCCCACTGCATGTTATGGGCCAGGCTTAGACCTAGGATTTTCTGAATATTAAGCTGGTATTTTGTAACCATTCTTCCACAACTCTGCTAAAAAGCATGTGTGGGTTACAAGTTTAAATAATGATAATTTTAAAAATATTTTGGTATTTAAATGATAAAAAATAACCTGGTTCCCAACATGCACTTATTAACAAGTATTTATTGAAACATGGAATATACTAAGCACTGTGGTAGGTGCAAGTGAAGTGGCTCTGTGTTTATGTCTAGCCATGAACTTCATCGACATTCTTCCCTTATTTTCTGAAAACCTGTGTCACTTCTGAACAGACTGTCCCAGGACTTGAGGTGACCTTCCTCACATGACCAGGAGCCTCTGTGCACTCCCAGCCCCTTGCTTCTTACCTTCAAATAAACGTTGTCTACTCTTCATATGAGCTCACTTTTCCAAACAGTTATCCACTGTGTGGTTTTTGGACAGTTGTTTGGAGTGCATGATGTTTCTGGGGTTCCCAGATGGACGCTTCCAAGGTCAGTCTACATGGGCTGCAATGGTCAAGTTCAAAACATTCAGAATGGGTTTGCTCTTCACCCCTTGCTTAAATTGCATCTACTTCTGTAGCTCAGCAAGAGGCTGACAAACTGACTTCCTAAGAGCTAAGATGTTCTACTTTTAAGCTTGTTTGAGCAGAGAGCTTTAATAGCAATTAATGACACCATAGATTTGTAAATGACCTCAAAGTTCCTTTGATCTGATCACGTATCCCCTCAGCTCTCCCCAGAGGGATGTAGTATATGGATTGAGGGCACAGGTGCAGGTTTGCTTTGAGATCTCACCACAGGCAGCTTGTGTGTCTCAGGGCGAGTGGCTGAGCTGTGAGCACTTAGCTTCCTCACAGAGTGGGGATGATGATAATAGTGCTTGATTCATAGCATTTTGAGGTACTCAACTCAAAAATTATATAGATAATACGTATTGTAGTCCTAGAAAACAGACTTTTTGACATTCATTTAAGGAAAAAGATGTCTTTAGCATCTGTGATGTGCCCAGACCAGTTTTTAATGCTAGGTCTACAGCAGTGAATTAAGATAATTAACAATCATAACAGAACAGGGCAGCTTATGTGAGAGTGGAAGAAACAGACACTGTTCAAATAAACAGAAGTCACCACATAGTTTCAGATAATAATAAGTTCCATGAGGAAACTCTAAGAAGATAGGAGAAAGAACAGGAGGTGCCCTGGCTGAAGACATCAGGGAGCCCTCTGAACACGTGATCCTGGCTTAAAGCAGCAGAGTGGAACACATGGCCTTCTGAGAGGCATTCAGCTCCTGAGTGGTAGGGGAGGGAAGATGATCTAGGAAAGAGGAAAGGATTTGATCTTCCATAGCATATTTTCATTGGGTACAGGGTGGTGTGAGACAGGACCTCACAGATGTTCTGCTTGTTGATGACCCTAGGAGAGTGGTGGAAATGGATCCCTGCTCTCCTGTGTAAGTGGAGTTGCCACTGAAGCAGCCCACGTGGAGCTTGAGAGCTCAGAGTGTGACTGGGGTGGGGAATCGGTTGAGTGAGATGGTGGATGTCAGAGATCCCCTTTGTACTGGGTGAGTAGCTGCCAGACCAATCCACGTCTCAGAGGTGAAAACATCTTGTCTGATGGTCGCTTCTCACAATAGGTGAGGATGCAGTGTAAACAAACTGTTTGCCCTGTCTTTTTTTACTGCACTTATTGAAAAGTTAAAGAAATTGTTAAGTGCCTGGTACTTTCCGTGGGTGTGTCATTTAATCCTCATAATAACCCCAACAGATGGGAAAGGGGGCTCAGAGAGGTTAAACAGCTTGCCCAGGACCATACAGACAGTCGGCAGCAGAACCAGTGCTGAAACTCAGATTCCTGGAGCTCCACGTACCCAATGCTGCCTGCCTTAGGTGGGGAGTTTCACCCCATCAGGCCTGAGATAACAAATTCTTCCAGGAACAGTTCTCAGGTCTTCATTGTGGATTGAAGAAAAGAGAATGAGGAATAGGCAGCTATTTTATACACTGACCTTGAGGGAAGTTCATGGCAGTGAGAAGTGCCAATCCAACCATGATTCTGAGACCACAGAGAAGTCCTGTTTGAAATGGAAAGACTGTTCTGAGACAAGACCTCACTACGTTGTTTTTCCACCACTGCCCAGCATCCCAGCTCTGCATTCCTTGACCTTGAATGAGGGGGTTAGAGAAGGTCATCTTGAGGATATTATTCCTCAGCAGAACTGTTATAGGTTATTGGCAGAATTTGACTTTGAATATGCATGTTAAATCCAAATACGTTTAGGCCTCTCCCAGAATCATTCCTTTGATTCTGTATTCTCATCCCCCACCTGCTGGTATTCCTTCTCCAGCAGTGCCTTTGACTGGAAACTGGTGCTGTCCTAATTTCTCCATCCCCTGAGTCCTTGTATATTAGTCACCAAGTCTTTCAAGTATTATTTCTTTAACCTAGAATAGTATAATTAATAGGAGTCTGGAGTTTAGACCTCAAACTATGCACTTCCTAGCAAGCTAAGAACTTTGTGCATCTATTTTCTCATCTTCAAAGGATGAGTTCCTCTCAGCTGCTATAACAATTAGCACAAACTTAGTGACTTAGAACAATGCAAATTTACTGTTGCAGGTTTCTGGAGGTTAGCAGATTGAAGCAGGTGTTGGTAGGGCTTGTTTCCTTCTGGAGATTCTAAAAGAAACTGCATTTTCCTTGCCTGAATACCTTGGCTTATGGCCCCATCCATCTTCAAAGCCAGCAGCAGAGCTGAGTCTTTCTCAGGTGCATCATTCTCACATTGATTCTTTTGCTTTTCTCTCCCACTCTAAGCAGTCTTGTGATTAACACTGGGCATATCTGGATCACCCAGTATACTTTCCCTAATGTTAGGCCAGATGGTCAGCAGCTTTAATTCCACCTGTGAGTTTAATTCCCCTTTGCTATACTCAGATTACAGGGTTCAGGGTGTCTTCAGGGGCATCATGTTGCCTACCCCCAGTACTTATTTGATAGAGCTCTTGAGAGAATTCAGTGAGACAAGCCTAGAGGGCCCTTTGGGCAGTGCTTGGTACACCATAAGTAGTGAATGTGAGTAATAAGGTGTGTTGGTAGCTTGCGGCTTAGACACCCTCTGGACTAAGAGCTCTATGTTCATGAGACCCGTCTCACCACATTTTTCTCATCTTCAGTTCTACTCTGGGCCCTCTTTCTTCATCCAGTACCCTGGGTTTCCATGTTAACTCACCATTTTCTAATTGTTGACGTACAGGTCTTCCACCAGAAAGTAACTGATTGTGTCAAAATGTGGTCCATGGACAACATTTGTCATCTGGGAGCCTATCAGAAATACCGAGCCTATTCCCTCCCTGCTGCCCCAGCAATGAATCAGAATCTGCATTTACACAAAAATCCCCAAGAGATTGATAAATACATTGTTTCAGAGGAACTATTCTGGAACACAAATGCTGAGTAAATACTAGGTGCTCAATAAATATTTATGAAATAAATTAATAAATGCCACAGAGCAGGGATTTGGCTTAGTAGTTAGAATGCTTGCATCCCATATGGCTGAATTTGATCCTGGCTTTGACTGCTAACTCCAGCTTCCTGCTACTGTAGAGTGTAGGAGGTGGCAGTGATGGATGGAATAGCTGGGTTCTTGCCACCACATAGAAACCTGCATTGGGTTTCCAGCTCCTGGATTCAGCCTAGTCCACGGCTAGCTGCTAGGGGGCATTTGGGAAATGACCTAGCAGATAGGAGTTCTTTCTCTGTCTGTCTCTCTGCTTCTCAAATTAAATAAAATTTTAAAAAAATATGAGGTGCTTATGTTAGGTTTGAGAAGTACATAAACAGCAGGTATGATTTTCCCCGGTTCCTGGAATGTATCTTGCTCATATTTCTACATGTCTTTGTGTAGCCTACATGGTGGTCACCTTGGCGTGGTTTAAAGGTGGAGGTGTAAACTCCTCCAAAACTATCCAAGGGGGCATCACAGGGTCTAGAAAGGCAAGGATGTCTGTCTGCTCTTCTCACCACCATAACCAAGCAGCTAGGATAGGACCTGGCTCACAGCAGGTGTCCCAGACTCACAGAAATGAAGCCCAGTACTTTTTTTTTCTCCAGTAGGAAACTCCACCCCAAAAGGAGAACCAATTTTCACTCAAATCCATTCGGGGAGGTACTCTTTCTACTTAAAGAAATGGGGTACACCACACCTGCCTTCTTGTACAGGCAGCTGTATGGAAAGAAAATAAGAGAGCAAGAGTGAGAGTGAGTAAGAGTGAGAGAGAGTGAGAGTGAGAGAGAGTGAGCAAGCTGCAGGGTTTTGTCACCAAACCAAAAAGCCAGTGTGGGCCCATCATTCACACCACGAGCCAGAGAACTCTTGATGGAAAACTACTGGCACAGTCTCTGTTCTGAAATGGCCTCAGGGACACGTGCTGAAATAGGCTGTGAAAGTCTAGGTTCTGTTCCAGGAGAGCAGGGCAGATCGTGTTGGGATGAACTGGCATAAAACTCAGAGAAGTAGGTCAGCAGATTCTGAATGATGAAAGGAACTTTGACATCTGGAGTTCCAGGGTTCCGGCAGCAGAAGACTTTGGCCAGTTCCTTTGTGATGGGAAGTTGAGAACTCTCTCCTCTTGGCAGAGAAGGAGTTGCTTGCGCTATTGAAGTTGTGTAGTGAATGTGGTTCTCATGCCAAGTTTGGGTGCCACTCTTGTCGATGAGGTGTTTGCTGTGGTCTTCCAGCCCTCAGCTCATACCTATGAGTACTGCTATAAAGAGCTATGTGGCTCAGCTGGACCCCGGAGACAGGTGCTCAAAGCTGGCATGGGCAGATGCACACATACTCCTCTGGTTTAACAATGTTTGTTTTTCTCTCAGATGGCCCAGCACAACAGGTTTGTGCATGCCCTTCTCTGCCTGCAAAGCACGGTGTCCTGCCTTCCAATGCTAGCTTCACCTTTATACACTCTTTTAGAGCCAGGGTGAATGTCACTGTCTTTACTGCCTCTCCCAAGGAGTGACTTTGCTGTTACTACTGCCTCTGTCCCACACCCTTGTACTATCCTCAGTTAGAACATAAAGCCCCTATTTAGCTACTCATCTCTCTAAGTAAACTGTAACCTATGTTAGGGGTAGACTGCTTCTGAGTCTCCTTTAATCTCTCCCATTTCCAGAAGTTGCTGGCCCCACAGCAGGCACCTGCAGATGTTTGCTGACCTGAGTCTCATCACCAGGAACTACCCCTCTGAGCTGAATGGGCTTGCTGTGGCCTTCATTGGCTGGCTGGATGGCTGAACAGAGCATGCTTGTCTCTGCATGGTAGCTCCTGTCTTTGTACAGACGAGATGGATCTTGTGATAAATTGGCCTGTTCCAAAGAATGATAATATTCTTGTTTCTCAATGAACAGGGCCATAGTTATGCACCCTCCAAAGATCTAGGTGCCAAATACTCTGTGTAGACTAAGAATATTGTAACATACTGGCTTTTACATTTTGGTATCATTAGTATTATTAAGAAATTATTCAGGGCTGGTGCTGTGGTGCAGCAGGTTAATGCCCTGGCCTGAAGTGCTGGCATTCCATATGGGTGCTGGTTCCAGTCCCAGCTGCCCCTCTTCCCATCCAGCTTTCTACTATGGCCTGGGAAAGCAGTAAAAGTTGGCCCAAGTCCTTGAGACCCTGGACCCACATGGGAGACCCGGAGGAGGCTCCTGGCTCCTGACTTCGGATCAGCACAGCTCCGGCCATTGCAGCCAACTGGGGAGTGAACCAGCGGATGGAAGACTTTCTCTCTCTCTCTGTCTCCCTCTCTCTCTCCCTCTCCTCTCTCTGTGTAACTCTGACTTTCAAATAAATAAATAAATCTTGAAAAAAAGAAATCATTCACATTTTTGTTACTAGGAAGACCTCATTTGGATTAAAGACCCAACTAAATGTGAGTTAAAATTTGCCTCTAGAAAGGTTTCAGTTTAGTCCCTTTGACAACATGCCAGTAGCAAACCACACATCGCACTGAGGCCTCATGTTTCTTCCTCCTTCCTTTTCCTTCCTCCCTTGTTCTTCAACTATTCACTGAGCACTGAACATTTTGACAGGTCCTGTTTTGAAGTAGAAGATACGAGGAGTCTTCAAAAATGTTTGTGAAAATTGTATATGCTGAAAAAAAATTGTGTGAATTTTAAAACTTTTTGCATCAAAATAAACAGCTTTTAATTCCATTTGTCCGTGAACTTTTTGCAGTCAGTCCCCTCCTACAGAGTAAAGGAGCTGTTACTCGCGGCCCCAGTTGCTTTTTTCCTAGGGATTTTCTTTTGCAAAAAGAGAAAGACAGAAGAGAGAAAGTTAAAATCTGGTAAAGCTGAGTAGACAGCAAAAGTTGGCAGCTGCTGATTACCTGTGTGCCAGCTGAGACTGAAAGCACTTAGAAGGGTGAAAGTTCCCATCAGATAGTGAAATTCATGATTTAATTGCCATAGATCTAAATAATGTTAATTGCGTTTACTATATTCATAGTGTATCAAATGAATAGAGAGGTAGCCCTGGCTCTTAGAAATGCCATCATTAAAGCTATCTTTTTAAATGGGAATCTAAGCTTCTTGCCAACATAATAAAAGACCAGCATTCTTGTGTCCACAGGTGTGCTGGAGGACAGGAGACCCTGAGTGTGATTTGCTCATCTATACCAGTAATCTCATGGTTTGATCCCAGACTCACAGCATTATCATCACTTGGGAACTTGTCAAAGAAGCAAATTCTTTTTGCCTAACAGGGAGACTGAACCTGAAACTCTGCAGGTGGGGTGTGCAGCAGTCTATAGCATTACCAGGCTCTCTATGGTTCCGAACCCCTAAGCATGACTGAAAATCACTGATCCAGTCCAGACACAGTGTGGTTATCGGGCCAGCAGGAGCAGCAGCAGCCCTTGGGAGCCTGTTAGAAACGTGGAGTCCCAGACCCTACCCTAGACGTGCTGAGTCAAGATCCTGCACTGAGCTGACAATTTGTGAAGTGCTGCTCCAGACCACCTCCTACCTTGCAAAGCACTGGGTCAGCAGCAGTCGCAGACTCTTCCCATCTGGGTCTTCACTGCACTGATGCACGCCGATGGACAGCTCCGTTCCACTTGCCTGTGTTCTTGGGTGACACTTCTGAGGATCACATTTTGCAAACTTTGAGAGCACCAAGGTTTCTTGCAGACTGGGCTGTGCCCTTCTCCATCGTGACTGGGGTGGTCATTTGAAACACCCTTGCAATTACTCTTGAAACACAATCCACAGTCAGGAACTTGCAGATTATTATGAAAATGGGGTTAGTGTCAGAAGCTTCCCCTTTTCTTTAGACATAATTAAATTTTCTGCCGAGGGAAGGGATAATAAAATTTCCAATGTAAGTGGGTCAAACAGACTTACATAATAATGAGTAATGGGAGAAATTTGGGCTTTCCCAGTCTGGTATTATCTTGGAATCAGGAAGGGCCAGTGAGGCTGAAATGATTAATGAGATATTGCAATGTTTTCCTAATGAGGCTGTAAATAGCTATTGTCCCCATGCCACCCCAGCTGTGCAGTTCTTCTTTGGGGATCTCCCCATGACCCAGTACCTAGCAATCAAAGTGTTCTTGCTTGATGCATCAGCCATTCCCAGCCTTAAATAATATGATTGGCATTTCACGCTGATCCGAAGGCAGGAGCCAGGTGCTTCTCCTGGTCTCCCATGCGGGTGCAGGGCCCAAGCACTTGGGCCATCCTCCACTGCACTCCCTGGCCACAGCAGAGAGCTGGACTGGAAGAGGGGCAACTGGGACAGAATCCGGCGCCCCGACCGGGACTAGAACCTGGTGTGCCGGCGCCGCTAGGTGGAGGATTAGCCTATTGAGCCGCGGCGCCGGCCTCTTTTATTTGGTAATGTTCTGCTCTATGCCTGTCAATCCTTATTAGTTGCAGATTCCACATTTTTAAAAAGAATTATTTTATTTATTTGAAAGACAGAGTTACAGAGAGAGATAGTGCCAGAGAGAGAGAGAGAGAGAGAGAGAGAGAGAGAGAGAGATCTTCCATTCCTCTGGTTCACTCCCCCACATGACTGCAACATCCAGAGCTGAGCTAATCTGAAGCCAGGAGCCAAGAGCTTCTTCCAGGTCTCCCATGCGGGTGCAGGGGCCCAAGGACTTGGGACATCTACTGCTTTCCCAGGCCATTAGCAGAGAGCTGGATAGGACTAGAACCGGTGTCCATATGGGATGCTGGCGCTGCAGGCTGGGGCTTTAACCCATTGAGCCACAGTGCCAGCTCCGATTCCACATTTTTGAATACTATTACTTAATAACAATATTATTATAAGCTCCAAATCAATACTCTTGGAGCTTTCTAGTCATTTGTGGACAGGTACAGGGTAGAGAAACATTCGGTTTGTCCAACACCTGTGGTCAAGACACAAAGCATTTAACCAGCAGGCCCTATCAAACACATACGCAACAAATTCCAGTTCTAAATAAGCTGTTTCAGCTAAAGAGAGATTCCTGTAATGAATTTAGCATGACTTTGATGTTCAGTCTGATAAAGTATGAAGAAAAGAACCACAAGACCACAATGTCATTCATTACTACAGCAGCAAAATTGCTAAACAGAAAGCAAAGCAAATTAGGTAATGTGTATAAAATCCAACAGAAACATAATGGATTTTTCCCAGAAGTGTAAGAATGGTTTAACATTAGACCAACTTTTGGGTAGTCCTCCACTTTAATGAATGAGTGCTATCCATCTCTATAGATAAAACAGAACCTTTGATGTACCCCAGTAATGCTCATAATTTTAAAAAAGCATGAAAACTCCTAACAGATCAAAGACAGTGGGAAATCCTTTAACCTAACAGAGAGCAACTTATTAACTCCCCAGTGATGACAAAATTGTGACCAGAGGCTTGTGGCAGCCCAAGCTTCTAATTTCCCCAGGAGTAATAGTTGACTATTTGCTAATTCAGAGTCCAGAGTAAATTTATAAACCATAACAACTGTGAGTAATGACAATGGTCTGTATTTAGAATGCTACTCCCCTGGTGTGGTTTACAATCCTCTGTTGAGATTCTTTACTCTCCAAAGATTTGCTGATCACCCCACTTTCCCTTTGGATTGTGACTCCGTTAAAAAACTCACTAGCTGGAAGGGAGGCGAGGGTGGGCAGTCAAGTGTTGCAGAGATACATTCATGGTGCATCTGTCTTCATCTTTGTACTTCCAAGGAAGCACTTACTAAATGTTTCCTGTAGGTGGTTGTGGGGTTGGGGCAATTCATGTGCATCTTCAACATGAGCCAGTAATGAAGTTGTGGGGAGGGATTGGGATCTAGTGAGAGTCCTGGACAATGGCCCTGGGAAAGTTCATTATTCATGATTCTTTTTGCTACCGAGTGGGTGTGAGATGCCAGAGGTAGTCAGTGACAGCGAGACCATGGTCCCTGCCCTTAAGAGTACAAATCCATGGGCAAGACAAGCATGTAAACAATGATTCTCACTCTGTGGTCACAAGTGTGTTTGAACTGTCTGGAGTTGCTGTGAGAAGTGCAGGAAGAAATGACTGACTTCCAGGAGGTTTTCCAGGAGAAGATTTTTGAGCTGAGACTTGAAGTATGGAAAGGAGTTCTCAAGGCAGGCTTCCTCCCTCCTGGGGTTCTCTGGGGCCCGAGAAGGTGTTGAATTCCAGGCAAAGGGTGGGAAATGAGCAGAGGCATGACTAAATCTGAAGTGTTTGAGTGAGTACAGGGTGTGTGTATGTATGCACTCTGAGTGCTCATACGTGTGTGTGTGCATGGAATGAGTGTGTGTATGGTTCATGGTGTGTATCCATGGGGGATATGTATGTGTTGGGAGAGGACAGACAAGAAGGAGATAAAATGCTGGGAACCAGGGTCACAGGAGGTGAGTATACCCGTAACCAGGAATTTGGGCTTCACTTTGGCAATTGGAGGGCAGTAGTCACTTGGGATTTAGGAGTCACTGTGCTGGGGGTGAGAACACCGGCTAAGCAGGAAGGCCCTGTAGCAACATCAGTGCTTATAATAGTGCAGCTCAACTGGCCTCCCCAGAGAGATTTCTGTGGTCTTGGGACCTCAATAGATAGTCCAACGTCTGCAGACCATTCCTCTAAATTTGTCCTTTTCATATTTGACCGGACACAGCAATCTCCATCTTGAAATGAGAATGATGATTCCGTAGGTCTGGTTGGGGGTGGTGCCCAGGTACTGATCCACAGACACATTTTGAGGGGCAAGACTCCAACTTGTTTGCATGCTGAAACAGCTGGAGTTTAAAAAATTATATTACTGCCTTGAGCTGCCCTGCAGGTTCTGAGGTACCAGATGCTTGTGTTGGGCATGGCCAGGACACTGAGATCCCTAAAAGTGCCCCGGTTAGAGGATCAGATATTTCTGTTTGCTTTGCTTTAAAATTTCCAATCCCTTTAAAAATACATTAGTAGAAAAATAAAATTGAAGAAAAAATAGACATGCAAATAAAAGCCCAAATTTCTTTTTTTTTATTTGATAGTTACAGACAGTGAGAGAGAGACAGAGAGAAAGGTCTTCCTTCTGTTGGTTCACCCCCAAAATGACCACTATGATTGGAACTGCGCCGATCCGAAGCCAGGAGCCAGGTGCTTCCTCCGGAGCCAGGATCCAGGTGCTTTTCCTGGTCTCCCATGGGGTGCAGGGCCCAAGCACCTGGGCCATCCTCCACTGCACTCCCTGGCCACAGCAGAGGGCTGGCCTGGAAGAGGGGCAACCGGGACAGAATCCGGCGCCCCGACCGGGACTAGAACCCGGTGTGCCGGCGCCGCTAGGCGGAGGATTAGCCTAGTGAGCCGCGGCGCCGGCCCAAAAGCCCCAATTTCTAAAAAATACTATTATTCAGGTTCAACTGACATGGAATAACTATGTCAGTTGCAAGACAGGTTTATTTGCTTACTCCTGTTTCTTCTTTTTTTATTTAAAGATGTATTTATTTGAAAGGCAGAGTCACAGAGAGAGGAGAGACACAGAGAGCGGGAGATCTTCCATCTGCTGGTTCACTCTCCAAGTGGCCACAATGACCAGCACTGGGCCAGGCCAAAGCCAGGAGCCTGGAACTCCATCTGGGTTTCTCATGTGGTTGGCAAGGGCCCAAGGACTTTGGACCACCTTCTTCTTTTCCAGGTATATTACCAGGGAGCTGGATAGGAAGTGGAGCAGCCAGGACTCAAACCAGGGACCATATGGAATGCTAGCATTGCACATGCCAGTTAACCTGCTATACCACAATGCCAGCTCCTATTTCTGTAATTTTCTTGATAGTGACCAGTAACAATCAATTGAACTGTGGCAGCCCTTGGACCACATTCTGAGCAGCACCAGAGGATGTGGGAATCTGAAGTCGGCAGCTGTGACCCATGGGGATTCGGGGACCAGGGAGAGAAGGAGCAATCATGTTATCCTATGCTGCTGGCTGCAGGAAGCTGGAGTGACCTGATGGGATAAGAGTTCCTGCTCTGTGCCTCCAGACTCTGCTGTACCTGGGGAGGTCCCAGGGCTCCCTAAGATTGTGGAGCTGGTGGTGGCTTCACCTGTGAGTCAGAAGAGAAAGGAGGGAAACTGCTGTCCTAGCTTCTTGGCTCTTTCCCTGGAAGTTTTGTCTTCCTGCCTTCAAGGTTTGTTTAAGATAGATACTGGCTGGAAATTACGCCCCTGAGAATGGCGCCGGCTGCCTTCTCCCACGCTGTATTTTGCAACAAGCCTTGTTATTTCATACATGTTATTTTTTTTCCATGCTGTCTGTGTAAAGTGCTAGCAAGAAGCCCCTGTGCAACCTGCACTGAAGCAGTGCAGTGATGGAGTGCCATTGGGTTGTTTCTGACTTTATAGGAAAGCAGTCAGTGTGGCCTCATGTTTGCTTTCTTTTTGGGGGCAGGTGGTGAGGGTAGGAGGTGGGGGTTACTCTTTATTAGGTTAAGGAAACGCCCTCTATTACTGACATGTTAGGACTTTCTTCTTTTTTAATGCTATGAGTATTACTGAGGTTCATCAAGGTTTCCTTTTGTCTATTGAGATCAGTTTATCAAGGTTCGAGATTACATTAAAGGATTTTCTGCTGTTAAGCCAGCCTTAGTTCTTCTATTTTTTTTTTTTTTTTTAATTGGTGGACTACTAACTAATGACTCAAATTCAATAATGGTATAGTGGGCATTGGTTTCTGTGGTGTAAATAGTCCTACTATTGGGGCTGGTGTTTTGGCATTGTGGGTAAAGCTGCTGGCTATGATGCCGGCATTCCATGTGGGTGCTGGTTTGGG